TGTGAGTAGTCATCACATTCACAACTGCTCCTAAACCCTTAATTTCTGACCGTTGTTCAAATCAAAATGAAAAAAGTCAAAGATTGATCACGTTTGTATAATTGTATTACCATAATGCTAATTATGAAACTAAGTGTAAGTGGCATTTTTTCTTAAAGCAAGCTGAAAAACAAATATGTAAAATAACCAACATAGTCAATAAGAATTCATTAATTTTAGCAAAATATTAACATGATTTCTCATTACAAGCTTTAATGATTTTTTATAATTAAACCACTTTTTATAAGACTTGACAAGAGTCTGAAATAATATTTATTATTATTGATTACGGCTTGCTTATGAATAAATAAATAAATAAATATATTGTTACAGGGTGTTAGTTCAGACTCTATCATAATACAAAGATTTTCTTTCTCTCAATAAGAATTGAGTTTTAGTAGATTTAAAAATTATAACGATAGAATTTGAACATTTCTCTATCATTATACGAAGTTGTATGAAATTGTCAATAATTTTTTTACAACAAATTCCACTCGTTTTCCAATTCCAACGTCGACCAAACGATAAATTTTGAATCACATACCCACTAAACACATTAAACATCAAACGAATAAAACTTGACACGCAAATGAAAGGGTCAATTTGAACATTGGGCATAAACTATCACGGCCAGATTCCAATTGATCTTAACATATAATATGTAAAAATAAATTATTAAAATTAATGTTGAATACTTCAAAGTATGTTCTAAATCAGTTGATAGCTGATAGCGTAGCAAACAAAAAACGAACTCATTCAGACAAGTACAAAAGCCGCTTGAAGATCACCCAAACTCGCTTACTAGAGAACACTGCCAGCCATAATAAATAGATGAACCGCCATGGATCATGATGCTATTGAGTTATAATAAATACCGTGAAAATGTCATGTATTTGCTGTGAATTCATGCGTTCTATAGATAAACTGCAACGTCTCTTATATGTTATGAAGCTGGGTCAGAAAAACTCTGCTATATAAGATAGTTTTTTGACATTTGTGCGGTTTCTAGATTAGGTTTTCTATTTGACAACCTGAGAAAAACGCCTGACTGCACAGCAACCACATGGCTCTTGACAATATTTAGAACGATTTAGTATGGAAAGTTCTACATGACATAGCATTCCTATAATATTGATCTATTGATGGCAGAATCGGTCCAAGAAGTTCATTGTTCATTAAATCATGGTTATAGTCAAAATCACTGTCAATAGATAATATACAATTTACTAAAATTTTACTTGTTGTCCTCTTAAGATAGTTGTAAACATTATTGTGTAATGGAAAAAACATACACAAACACATACTCCGATTTAGTTAGGACAAAAAAAGATAATAGTGCTACTATTATATATAGTCGGATTTTCTGGCAAAAACTAACCAATCTTTCGGGAAGAAAAAAAACAATTACGTCTCGGATGCTTTCCGATATGCCACGACAGCTCAATAATGTATATTATTATAAAATGATTTTCATTTTATAGGCATAACAACAATATATGATGAGCAGTAAGTAAAACGATAAGTGTCAAGGTGGAATTAGAAATAAGACAAGTAGCAAAGCAACATCACAATGGCACATCTTATCTGGTTCTGTCAGACACGGATACGGTCAGGAAATTATAAACACTTATTTAATATGCATAAATACGTTTACGTGCAAATTTACAAACAGGTATTTATACATTACGGAGATGTGATCTCATTTCGGCTGCCACCAAATAGAATGATTCCGTAGAATTAGGACACATAATAGTATTCGGCAACTTTATGCCTGTCATACTAAAAATGGAAAGCAAAAAAAAATGTTCTGAAGACAAGAAACAAGAAGAAGTGCATAAAAATGCAGCCTATATGCGTTCAGCTAATGTGTAATAATTTATCATATTTATAAATAGTAGTAATCGTCATTGTAACACAAATTGTATCAACTTTGACGTTAACATATTTGAACATAAAAATCACAGTTTTTTTTCAAATATGTATTACAAGCACTTCCATATTCAATTCTTCTATTTTGAACTTCCAATATGGTAAGTTATATTAATCGCAAAAAATCGAAAATAAAAATTTTTGATATATCTTTACGTTTCAAAGGTTTTTGAACATTTTGACATACCTTAGAAAAATGGATGTGTGTGTATGTATGCGCGGATACAATTTTTCTTTGACGATTTTGGGTACACAGATCAACCGCCAAATATCTATTTTTTTTCAAAGTTTTTAAATAATTTTAAAGTGTTTTCAAAAGTTTTAATTTTTTGAACGGGAAGTACCAGCAATTTGTCTAAAGGCACGATGCCAGGCCCCACTAGTTACAATTTAGTAATTAGAGTGAAAATAGTAAAATTATTTTTCGTGATGATAATAGTAGTCCTTATATTAGTGAAATTATAACATAATAAAAAATATACAAATATTACATTACAAAATTACAAGATATAATTAATGTAAAACAGCTATAGTATGACCTCTATATTATATTTTAAATTCATAAGTATGATATGAATTCTAGAAGTTTTGTTCTTCTGTTGCTGATTTGTTCTTTAGATGATGAAATATTCTTTATAATTTTGGAAAATTTACTTGAATTTTAGATAATATTCTATTTATAAAACAGATATAGCTTGTCTAAACATTTTTAAATGATGGCTATAATATAGCTAGGTCGTAGCTGCATTTCGCTGATGTTGGGTATCAAATAACAATGGATTTTATTTTTGGATAAATAATATATATTTGATGCAATTTTATAGATCTAACTTCGTAGGATTTCTATAATACAACAGACATAGACAGAATCTATTATGGTGATTATTGATAATAGTATAGAACGTTTTTTGCACTTACAATATAGTAATTTCCAATATTGCATTAAATATAAGTAGCAAATCTTCTTTTATATGACTGTTTAAAAGTAAGACTAGCTGTAAGTGGAATTCTGTCTTAAGGCAATTAGGGCATCGTGCCTTAAGGCAAATTGCTGGAACTTCCCGTACAAAAATTATTATTTTTTTAAAAACCGATTAACATTTTTGAAAAAATTTTACTTCGAAAAAAATAGATTTTTGAGAAACTATAAATTTGACAAAAAAATACTTTTTTTTGAAAAAAAAAAAAATTTATTTGAAGAAAAATTTTTTTTTGAGAAAAATTTTTTTTTTTGAAAACAAAAAAAAATTTTGAAAAAAAATGTTTTCTTCATTTTGACATATTTTGAAAATTCTGAACTTTTTTTCACTTGCACTGCACTGCTTGAACTGCATAGAGACGAAATGTCAAAGCTCGCTAGTGCCGCGCCGCCGTCTAACGCGTAAACATTGGTACGGAACCCACAGAAATGTAAAAAAAAAATATACTTATTGTTGAAATCTCTATAAAATATCTGACAATTTGATGTGCATATGTCTAATGATCATTTTTAACCGCCGAATGGCATTTTTTTTTACTTTTTTCATTAGATCTCCGAAACCGCTAGACCTGCCTTCATGAAAATTTGATCAATTCTACATCTTGTCAATACAAGTAAAATGTTTTTTGAATTATTCAAATCGGACGCTCCGTTCTCTTAAAAACGGAGGTACCGTTTTTGGCACTTTTTGCCCCGTATCTTTGGAACGGCTGGACCTGCCTTTGCCAAAAACTAATCAGCACGTCTCCTTATCAATACGAATCGAATGTTTTTTGAATTATTCAAATCGGTTAATCCGTGTTCCCGAAATCGTCGACGAAAATTTGTATCCGCACATACATACACACACATACATACATACATACATACATACATACATACATACACACACACACACACACACACACACATACATCCATTTTTTCTAAGGTATGCCAAAATGTTCAGAAACCTCTGAAACGTAAAGATATATAAATATTTTCATTTTCGATTTTTTTGCGATTACTATAACTTGCCCTACGGGAAGTTAATAAGTATTAGATTATTTAATTTTAGTAATATTTAATTTTTTTAATAGTTATTATAACGTTATTTCATAATATGAATTTATTTTATACATGCTTAGAAGAAATAGGTTTATTAGTGCATAGACGAAAAACTTGATCAATGCCCCTTTACAAAATTACAACATAAAATTATTATTTATATTATTATTTTATTCATTTTTTTTAATATTTGCGACTATTCCATTATGAAACAACATAATCGTATAATGAATTTTAAACTTAATACTAAAAATATTATTTGATCTTGATTCTTGGTTTATAGGTAAATCTGTTACAATATTACATTTATAAATAAAGTTTTAATGTTTAATTCGGCAGCTAGCTCATTTAAAAAAACCTATAATATTTAATACATTGTTTATGACATTAATTCATATGTTTAAATCTAAACCTAGTATTTAATAGACACAAAATTTATTTTCAAAGTACAATAGACTGACATATGTTATTCGTTTATAAACAGTTATTTTACCAACAAAAAAACTAATATATGTGAAATCATAAAACGAGTATAATTTATGATATGTTATAAAAAATGTGACAACAAATCTCTGTTTTCAGAAAGCAATAAAACGGTAATTATCAATTGATAAAGTTGTTTAACTGAATGACTATGTTGCAACAAATGTTAGTAGTTATTAATTTATATGATTCTGAATATGTGATTAAACCTTTTTTGCTAGTACTATGGAATAATTTATCGCAAAATACATAATAATTATAAAATTGCAATATCAAACTCTTGTATTTGACACTTAAGGAAATGCTTAAAGCATAATAGTTGTTCGCTTTGACTTGAATATGTAAATATAGTGCATATATATATCTAGAATCAATTTCTTAACTTCCTGTAGGGTAAATTATAGTAATCGCAAAAAATCGAAAATGAAATATTTTGCATATCTTTACGTTTCAAAGATTTCCGAACATTTTGGCATAACTTAGAAACTAATTGATGTATTTATTTGTGTGTGTGTGCGTGTGTGTTTGTTTAGTTTTTATTTTACATAAATAAATATTTACATTTCATTTTACAATATTTTATACATAAGTGGATTTTTATAACTATTCTTAGTGACAACGATTTTCACTTGAAAATATAGATAGCAATATGTTTCCAAGTAAAAATAGCCGTTGCTCGGCATTGTTGCACCAATAAAAAGTCAGCCCTATTAGATTAATTCTAATAACAAAAATCATCAAATATAGATGGATTAACCATTGGGTTACCATCTAGAAACACGAAGTAAGGAGAAGTTTCAGCCCAACAGCTCATAGGACGTAAGATTCTGATTGCTGTTAAAAAATATTTAAAAAAAAAAAAACTATTCTTAAAAATTTTTTTTCTCTTAAATTTCTCTCAATGTGTGTTATTTCTTCAATGCCATGATATAAATTATATAATATCCCAGATAGCAGCCAAATTTTTCCTTATTACACGTATTGTGTATATCTATTTTAATAAATTTATCTTCAGTTTTCAGAATTTTCAGTTTATTTTTTATCAAATCCCATATAATTTTTTTTACCACATTCAGTTAAATAATATAAGGCATTTTTCTACTTCATGCATGTTTCGCATTTTTCTGTGCTGCTAATTTATTAATTATCAAATAATTTGTTGCTTTCCATTCTGAAGGAATATTTTTGTTTACTATATTCTTTCATATGTTTTTCCAGTTATTTCAGATCAAATTTTCATCGACATATTTGCAGGGATATGTTCTGATAAGTTTTTGGCAAAGGCAGGTTCAGCCACTTCGGAGATACGGCGCAAAAAATGCCAAAAATAATAATTCAGTTTATAAAGCGTCCAATTGTAATTATTCAAAAAACATTTTATTTGAATTGATGAAATGAAGAACTGACAAAATTAAGGAAAGGCAGGTATATCAGTTTCGGAGATCAAATGAAAAAAGTAAAAAAAAAGTAATTTGGCGGTAAAAAATGATCATTAGACATATGCACATAAAATTAACAGATATTTGATAGAGATTTTAACAATAAGTATAAATTTTGTTTACATTCCTATGGGATCCGTATCAATGTTTATCCGTTAGGCACGGTGCTTACGCGCTTCGATATTTTGTCTTTACCAGGTAATGCAGCGTGAATGCTTTGAAAAGAAGTTCAAAATTTTCAAAAAAATTTAAAATAAAAAAAATTTTTTTTTTCAAAAAAGTCATTTTTTTTAAATTTCAAAGTTTTCAAAAATCTAATTTTTTCAATTTGCTTTAAGGCATGATGCCATACACCTCAATTATTGAATATTGATTATTTTTATACCTCGAATATTTAATCACGGTACGGAAAATTCCAGAAATTTGTCTCAATGTGCGACTGGAACCACAAGACCAAGGTACCAATAGACATCATTTTTGTCAAGCAGGTTGAAGCTTATTGAACTCATAGACTACATATATTAGATTTCATACCAAGCAATTAAATAGTGAAATAAATAAATAAATATTTTTTAGCAATAAGTATAGAGAGATGGCTGATTCCCATGCGAAATATTCACTTAGTCAATGCCAGGGAATGTCAATGCATGTATAAAAACAACATTCAATAGTTCTGTACCATTAGTATTGAATCTTGACTCTGTAGTACAGTATGCCGATTAATGCTTTTCTAGCCGAGTGGGAGACTAAAACGGGTCCATGCACGGCGTGACTTGTCAAATGACAAATAATTATGTTTGGTGCTTCTTCTGAATGAAAAACAATCGAATATTGTTATAATATAACGTGCATTTCAAGTGAACGTTTGTGATAAATTCTATAGTTATGTACTTAGTGTAGTTGACAGTGAATTTGTGTGTTCATATTCGTATATAAAGTGCTCAGATAAAAGCAGGTAAGTTGCTGCTTGAAATCTTAGCAGATTTTTTTTGTCAATGAATTGATTGATATCATTACTAGATATGGTTGAGAGTAAAGATAACATTGTTATGATACAACTTAATTTTGATTGGAGAGAAATTTTGATATATTATCATTTGATTTATTTAATCGTGGATTAGATAACGCATTTTAGAAATTTGTCATAAAACGGTAATAAAAAATGTATGGTAAAATATATAGAATTATCTGACAGAAAATTATAGAATTCAATTAAATATATATATATATATATATATATATATATTATATATATATATATATATATATATATATCATTTATAAAATTTCCGTGTCACAAAGTTCGTTTCCGGACTCCTCCGAAACGGCTTAACCAATTTTCCAAATTTTATATTTGTGTTCAGTAGGGCTGAGAATCAGTTCGGTAAGTGTTAAGGGTTCGTTTACCCTTCAATTTTATTTTTAAATTTTTGAACGAATTTTTCTGTTTTTATTTTTTTATAATGTTAAATTAAAAAATACATATAACCCTAATTTTTACTTTTTAAGCACCAACCCCCTATTTTATATGGCCATTTTAGTACTTTGTTCATTTTTTATACCGCATTCAGTCATTAAAAATGTTTACCATAATTTTAGTTCAGAGTTTTAAGCTTAAAAAAGGCTTCAATTTTACTTCATAAAAACTTTATTAAAGCTTGTCCAACCCTAATACTTTTTTATTTGTGGTCAAATTTCTTTATTTTACTTCAAACTACTTTGTTTTTACCAAGCGTTCTTCACCCCTAACATTTTTTTCAAATTTTGGGACCAATTTTGTTTAAAATTTTTTATAACTTCAAAAGAAAAAGTTCTTTGCACTTAAAAAACTGTTTATTTTTGTCAAGGGTTGATTACACATAATTTTTTTTAAATATTTGAATCAATTTAAAATGGTTTGGATAAAGAGCATTTTTGGACTATCAATGACTATTAATATGACCCGGGAATATTTATATGTGGCAGTGGGTAAACTATTTATATATTTTTTTGTAAACAGCTCTTTTTACTTATATACCACTTTTGCAATCAGTTAGTCAATTTTACACCAGAAATATTTTTTATGACAAAACAACGTTTGCTGGGTCAGCTAGTATAGCATATATATATATATATATATATATATTGCTACTACATAACAAGTGGTTTAAAAGCGATTTAATTTTTTTTGGGAAAAAACTTTATTATCTCAAAATACGCTTCATATTCAACTATTCTGTTGTTATTGAACTTAATTAAAAGCGATTTAATTTTTTTGGAAAAAAACTTTATTATCTCAAAATACGCTTCATATTCAACTATTCTGTTGTTATTGAACTTTATTTTATAGCGTGTTCTTTTTATTATTTTTTTTAATGGGAGGCCCTTCAAAATCGACAAATTTTGAAAATTATAAATTCATATGTTTGAGATATGTTGTTCACGTTTACAAATTAATAAATATTAATCACACTTTTTAGCAAAACTCTAAGTTGCACTTCATTTTTTCTTCTAAATTTTGCCTGGGAGTTTTGGGAAAACCTGCATATATATCGTATAGGGTAGAGCGGGGCTAGTTGAGCAAATTTTTACTTAAACGGATGTAGCACCTCAATGAAAAGTCTCAATAAATTGCTATATGACTTAATGGATTTGTTGTTTATCGCGTAACAAAAGTGTTAATACTATTTTTTGGTAATAAGTAAACTCTAAAAGCTACAGCTGTTTAAATGCAAAAAGTCAAGTATGCTCAATCTACCCCATAGGTGAGGCAAGTTGAGCACTAAGAAAGTATAATAAAATCATAGGTTCAATGTCGATTAGTAATGAAATAAAATAAGTTTTTAATAACCAGTTCTATATTTATAGTCTTTATTGACAGAGAAAACAAAACTTATAGTAATTTGCTTTGAATAATTAACGAAAAGTAGAATCAACAGAACAATATCGTAGCTTAGGAATTATTTTACCATTATATTCAGTATTTTTGTTTAAAATCATTATTTCTTTACATTACTACTCTAAGACTCAGCTTAAATCTTAAAAATAATAATCAATTTCTGGAAGTTAATGGTAATTGTCTTAGTGACAGAACAAGTTTAGCAACTATGCTCAACTAACCCCAACTCGGAATTTCAGAAATAAAAGTGAGTTTATAAAAGAACCGTGAGAATTATAGCCAGAATCTCTGTGCATATTAAAAGTACTATAATTATATGGAAGAATAAAATTTACCTGGTTAAAAATAAATAACATTTAACTAAACTAGACGAAAACTCGTGATGAATGACTTTTTTACTTTTTGGTCTCAAAATAAACAAAACGCCCGTGAGCCTCACTCATTTGTCCAGCGGCCACTAGCGATCGCGGGATGTTTATTTCTCCCAAACCTCTATCTTTCCGCCATATAATGCCTAAACAGACGGTGAATAGTTTTAGAGATATTTCGATTGCTCAACTTGCCCCTATGCTCAACTAGCCCCAACTCGGAATTTCAGAAATAAAAGTGAGTTTATAAAAGAACCGTGAGAATTATAGCCAGAATCTCTGTGCATATTAAAAGTACTATAATTATATGGAAGAATAAAATTTACCTGGTTAAAAATAAATAACATTTAACTAAACTAGACGAAAACTCGTGATGAATGACTTTTTTACTTTTTGGTCTCAAAATAAACAAAACGCCCGTGAGCCTCACTGATTTGTCCAGCGGCCACTAGCGATCGCGGGATGTTTATTTCTCCCAAACCTCTATCTTTCCGCCATATAATGCCTAAACAGACGGTGAATAGTTTTAGAGATATTTCGATTGCTCAACTTGCCCCTATGCTCAACTAGCCCCATTCTACCCTATGTGTGTGACTTACAATATTGGAAGTACATCGTTATAATTACGTATCTTTATTTAGCCTATTTTTCTAAAGTTTAATTAATATTTATTATTAAAACAATATTTTAAAAGTTTGAATTTTACCACATTTAATACAAAGGTTCAAAAAAATATAGGTCTGAGGTGTCCTTCTTAGTAGAAGTGTACTAAAAGATAAATATCATCTTAATATTAAATTAAACTGGCGCTTTTAATCAATTTAGGATATGATTTATGCTTCACTAATAATATAATTTAATAGTTTAATTTAAAATTAAAAATTAAATAGTAATAGTTAAAGTTCCATTTTGCTTCTAAGATATTTTCATGAATTTCCTCATAGATAATCTCACTCAATAAGTATTGAGATTTAGCAACTTTTTAAATTCTGGCGATAAAATGTCAACTGCTTTATTCCAAAATAGAATTTTAACTTCTACTATAATGTGATTAGTGCAATTTCAAATTGAGATCTTTCAAACAAACTTTTATTGATTATGTTATTTATAATTACTTATAATTTTATCAATTACATTTATTTTTTTACACATTTTATTCGTATTCTAAACGTATATTTTATGTTAGTGCAAAGGTTAATACCAGTCAGTACAAAGTACCCAAAAATTATTAACACAGTGAATGTTTTATAATTAAATAATATTTTAGTAGAAATGTTTGTTGAGACCATAATCTCTATTATGACACGAAATTACATAAAAACCGTTATTCAAGAACTAATTACAAAGATTTGGATTACTTCATCCAAAACTAGTCAGCACAATTACCAATTGATATCTTTTGAACAGATTTTGAACTTTCAAAATTGGTTAAGGATTTTTGGCGAAAATTCCTTATCCCGTTCATTCACACATTCATGCAAGTTGCTTTAATTCAAAATGCTACTTAAACTTATTTTAAATATTAAAGTTAATTTGCTGTAAGTGAATTAATGGAATTAGCAATAATCTTTTTTTAAGTAAAACTTCTTTAGGCGCGACTAGGGTATTAATCCGTACAAATACAACGGAAATGCGATACGGCCGAGTCGAGTGCCAATGATTCGTCATTTGCTCTCGATGATATCATTTCTATACGGATCGTTTGTGATTAGGCGTCGTGTATGTGAACAGAGATCTGTCGTTGTAAGCCGGCATCAACGCTGTATGCGTACCGATATTAACAAGGAAATCGGCATAGACATAAACATTTTAAAGTTACATCGTAGTACAAATCTTGAATTAATGAAAAATGCCAGAATCAGAAGAATATTTTACCCTGTTCTTTGAAAATAATAAAACAAATTAAAAATTCGTGCCGTGTACTAAACGTAAGTTTATTGCTATATTATTCGTAGTTTCTATAAATCTTTGAAGTTATTAAAATGAAAAATATTTTTAGGCAAGACAGATATTACAGCTGTTCTAAGAATGAGATTATAGCGCCAGCAAAATAGTAAACAAAATACAAGCAGTCAATGAATGTATGTTAATTTTAATTACATGAAGTTCTTCAAACACAATTACATGATGAGTGAAGTTGCGAAAACAATATTTGTTTAAGCGTTGTTTAACATAATCCACTGTGTGAACGAATATTATAGAGTTTATTAATCAGCAATTACTTCATTTCTCTAATGAAGGTTCATTTCTAAATGCTAATTACAATGACAAACCGATCATGTCATATTTGAAGTATGACTTTAATTACATTATTGTTTTTAAATATTATACATATTTTTAATGATATTATAAATATATAATTTATAATTTATCATTATATAAATGTGTATAATGGTTGATACTAATAAATGTATGCATCAAGAGTGTTACCATATTACTAATAATAAACATTATTCGAAGTTGTCATATGTGGTATTTATTTTAACTTAAATGCCATCTTGTACAGTAGCAAATGAACTTCAACCGCGTGTGAACCTTACGCGCACTCTTTTTTTTAATTGATATATCAAACAACTAAATGACTTAGAGACTACACACCTACTAAACACAATAATCATGAAAATAATATCATTTGTAAAGAAGTGTTATAAAATCAATAATACTAACCATGTAATATGCGATAAATATAAAAAGTACAGAATAAATTTACTAATATTATTACGCAAAGTGTTTTTCTATCAAAGTTTGTATATATAAAGTGCTTTGATACTTTGAACATTTTCCATAAATTTGAATTGATCTAAAAAATTAAATAATTTCATTGTCGATTATTTGTAGCAAAATTCAGTATATATCTGTTTCAAAATGTTAACTATGATTATTTTTCTAAACTAAATTGCCGATATTCAAAATATGAAATCAAAAATCCCCAAGTCTGATCTATGAAGAAATGAAAAATGAGAAATAGATGCTTTGTTAAATTTTTTCTACTAAGATACTAATAAATAAACAAAACAAAAATTATTCGGTTAATTTTCATATGTTTTGAAATATTTTTTTTGTACAAAAGACAAAATCGTTGATGCCTCACATATAAAATAATCTATTTCATCATTTGCATTTAACAAATAGAATTAAACGCAATTAATAAAATACTTTGTTGTAATAAAATTAAAACATAAGGTATGTAAATAGATAATATGGTAATAAAATGGAGATTGACAGCATATAATTATAATTATTACATTGCGTACATACACCTTACATACACCAGATTACTTGATAAGAGATACTATGATAGGAGATTTTCAATCAAATAGAGATAAATCAGTAAAAAATATTAGCTGGTGGTAATATTCTACTAATAGTTTGAAATACTTACTAATACCATTAGAAATATATTTTCGCTTTTATTATATTTTTAATTAGATTTTTTTTGCAGATCTAGTCAATAAACTATAAAAATGGTTGCGCTACTACTCAGCACATTAGCTTTAATACTATCAGTAACTTCGCAGTTTGTGGACAGACCTCATATTGTTTACATCATGGCCGATGACTTGGTAAGTTTACCCAAAACATTTAATGTAATTATTATCTTATCAAATTGCTTGAACTTTACAATGATCTTCAAAGTTCCATCAATAATTCCATCTTATCGAATCATGCATCCTTGACATTGATAATATAACGCTCAGAATTAGTAGAGATAAGTGACCATAAGATTCAGGCGAAGAAAAGAAATGTTTCTTGAAACATTGCTCAATTAGATAAAATTATTAATTGATATTTGTATGCATATACAAATAAATATGCATATGAAAATAATGAAACGATAAACGAAAACAAATTTTTTTTGATAAACTTAAGTAGATATTGTAGGGGAGACTGCGTACGGTTGTGCTACCTTTCTTGATCAGCCATAATTTTGTTAATTTACCTATTAGCTAGGAAATAAATGAATTAAATGATAATTTGAATTTTAACCATCTTCACCCGAAAAGGATAAAACCCACAACCAAATGTTGCAACCATACCCAACGCACATTTTTGAAAACAAATCATCGTTATGACTGAGCTAAATTATCTAAATTAACTACTAATGTTTATGTTTCAGCAAAATTACAAAGTGAACTATATATTTACAAGAAACAGTAATTATTAAAAAAAAAGTAGATCAAAGAATTTTTTTTGACTCTTTAAAAGCAATGCGGTTCACAATTCAAATTTTTTGCAAGTCTCTAGCTCTGCTGCTATTAAAAAACAGCGGCAAGATGGCAATGAATTTTATAGTTTTGTTTTTCTTGCAATTTTAGAGAAAACTATTAATAACTATTAGTAAATTACTTATTACAACAATGCAAAATTATATACAAAAATAAATGTAATAAGTACTTAAACGAGAAAAAAATATTTAGACTATTCTTAAGGGAGTATTCTAGTGTAGAAATTCAGAAAAATCGACTTTTTTATTTCATATTTTCAAAGTTTAACTATCTAAGAATATGGGTACGAGAAGGTTTTTGACAATTTGAATTATTTTCGGAGATATAGGCATTTTACTGACTCGCTCTCCAAACTGGTTTGGCAGGGTCTAATCGGACAAAAGGCATTAGGAAGTCATTAGACCAATTTAAGACAGTATATCGTCAGATGAATTATTAATTCGATGTATAGGTTCAGAAACTCAGAACAATATTGAATCTCTAAACTCGTTGATTTAGATTTTGCGCCAAAACATATTTATTCCCGATCTCGGGTATTTGAAAAGCAACATTTATTGCTGTTTGCATAATGAAGGTTTCTTTCCGATTTTAAAAATGACCCTTATGGTAATGCGAATTGGGCCAGAAACTCATTCATTTGCTGTCAGACGCGACAATGCCCGGATTGAACGATCTGAAATACGTACATCCAACGCTTCAAAGGAGGCTGAACTGCTCGATTTGAAGAGAGAAATGCAGAAAATAGTTTTTTAGGAGTAGAAGAAGGTCCGATGCATGAAGCAAGAATTGAAGTTTAAATGAAAGAAGTATAACATATCATTTTATAACTTTGACAGCAAAAAACTTCACGCAAAACTTTAAATGCGTTTTTCTCAGAACAGACTTTTTCAGTACTGTTGACACGATTTCTCGAGTTTTAGTCGACCAATTCACTTGAAATGTTCAGATAGTCTTATTTGTAGACCTATCTATAGCCCGAACTAGGATTATCTCCAAATTCCTATTTTTACTATTTTTAAAAAATTCGAGAAATTCAAAAAACAGTAAAAAACACTTTTTTTTCAAACAGTCGCCAATTTGTAAAAAAAAATTTCTACTCATCGCTAGTTCGAGCGATTGCGACATCATTGTAGATGAATAATCTTTTTATTTCTTTTATTTCGAATGACTAGGAGGGCTGAAATCATGTTAAGACTGAGGTGCCGATTTTTTGAGACCCCCCACTTCATCAGCTGCCAGTTTCAATTTTCAACTTTTTTTTTAAATTTTTGTACTGTATTTTAATAATATGAATAAACAAGTGGTAAAAAATGGATAGTAAAAACATTCATTGCTTTCTTTTACGATACTTTAAAAATGACCTAAAATTCATCGCTCTATACTAGAATACCACCTTAAGAAGACACTTTATAGTAGATTAAATACGTCCATGTGTGCGGTCAAATAATTTATTTACCTTAATAGTCATATAAACTCTTTTTTATTTTATTTGAAAAAGCGATTTCAAATAGCTTCAAATTTGCCAAATATTAACTTAGGATGTTTTATATAAAAAAATTGAAATCGCCGATTGTTATAGGTCCTTGGTTGCATCCAAGTAATTACGCCTTGACATTTTTCACGCCCGTTGAGATCTCATCAATCGATAGCAACTAATGTGGGAAACTGTGTTTAGCAAGCAACCCATTATTCATTCATTCACACATTTGTTATTTCCTATTATTATTATTGAAATCTTGGGGATTATGAAAATGCTAATAACAATTGTCTTCGTTGCCATAAAAGTAACAGTTATGTACCAGGATGTGCGTATATGTTGCAAAATAAACTAAAATGCGTAAAGCTAACTATTACGAAACTACTTAATTCGAAACGTTATCATATGTTGGCTTTTTATTTTATTTTATAATTTTATAATTCAACTGATGCGCACAAATCTGGCCCAAACGATTCCTAATTGTTATATTTTTATATGTTTGGCGAGTTGCATCATCAATAAGGATTGAGATTTGCCCACTTCGTCAAAATCCTTAAAAAATATTCAAACATTAATTTCAAAGGGACGATCCGATGGGTACGATTTCAGTCTGATATTTTTCGATTTTTATAATTGGTTCGAATTTTTTTGTTACAAACTAGACAAAAAATGTTGGATTTTTCTGCTAATTCTAAGGAAATGACTGGGACGATTGGCTCGCAAAACTAACCATTGCTAATCCATATCATAATATTATAATATAGGACTATCAAATGGTTTTTAAATTTGAAATGCTAGCAGCTCTTTTTAATGAAACGACAGTGAAAGTTAATATGTATTAATATTTTAGTTCATATGCACGTGCAAACACATACTTTTTTAACCAAAACGATTCATGACTTGAAATATCGAAAAAACATAAACTGATTTTGGCATAGGGTCCAAAGGAATAAATATGTAATATGTTTATTTTAACATATGTTCCCCCTATTAGTAGAAGCTAGAAATGTTTTGAAAGATATTTTATTGTCGGTCCATTAAAAAAGTATCATTTCAGTTGTAACAGTTTCTTCTTAAATCGATATTGAGATCCACTGATTATATATTTCTACGAAATAAAGATTGATGATTGCTGTAACTATTCCGCTACCTATTCAAGTATGAATAATTCCACAGCTGTTGTTTATTATTTCATAATTAATCATTTTCTAGAAAAAGTGCCTAATTACAACATACAACATGTTTGGGGCTAGTAGTACCAGGGCAGGTAGTAACGACAGAAAAATGACAGTAATAGTTCAGATAATTTATTCTTTACTCATTTTTATTAAAATTAACATGTTTCTGAGTAATTCTTTTCATACATGCACGTAAACTATAATTAATACAAATAAAATGTATAATGTCGATCAACGCGATTTTCAACCAATGTCTTTCGAACAGTTTTTGAATTTTTAAAATCTATTTAAGATTATAAACTGAAATGAAGATGAAATAAAATTGGTTCAGCCGTTTTTAGGAAAAGCCGATAAAAAGTCAAAAATTGGCTCACATATATATACAAACACACATACTTCTTTCAAATTTGGTCTCATTCGGTCCAGAATGATTTAAAACGCCGAGAGGACATAAAATTAGCAAATCAGATTTTTTGCGAAAACAAATTTATCCTTCGAGAATTAAAAAAAAAAATTAGCTTAATTTCGAGACGTTTTGATGAAATATACGGCTACATTGATCGGGGTACAAATGAGTTTTATATTATAGTGTGTAATATGTGTTTTGTAATGTAGAGTCAAATAGAGAGAAATAGATCATATAGCTTTTAAAAAGGTAATACCAGTAAATAGATAAACCATGGCCAAAGATGCAAATTAAGGAACGGATTGTGTTGCAAACTAGAACAACGTTACGAAGGAGCTATGTAACGTAGCGCTTCGCATACAAAATGGTACTAAATACTAATAAAATGCTATGTGGTGTTGTGCAGTCAGGTGTTTTAAATTGTCTAAAAAAATAATTTTGGAAATTATTAAAATTTTCGATTTATGGTAAATAAATATAAAAAATATTCACTAGTTATTTAGAATTAAATTAGTTAGGAATTTTAAACTCAGAATCTGAAATCTGCTGCAGTATCTTCAAAGCAATGAAGTTCATACAATTTTTAAGTATTGCAATGAATTTAAAAATTAATTTGGTCTAAAATAAGAAAGCTTTACCTTTAGTCTAATTGTCATCATTTCATAAATAATATTTTTCATGCTTTTCGAGAAAAAAATGGTATGATTGCATTAAATTGACATAGTTTTTCAATATTTTGGTACTGGTTAGATAGGTTTTAAAAAATAAGAATTAGATGTATTGGATGTATTAGAGGTATTAGATGTATTAGATATACAAATTTACAATTAAATAACAAAACAACCAAATATAAAATACAAATAAAGGAGTGCTAAACTAATTTAATTTTGTGTCTTGATTTTATGAAACTTGATATTACGTCTTTGTTTAGAGCATCTTCAAAAGTTGAGGTCTTGTTTATCCATTAATTTGCAGAAATTATTAAAAAGTTTAGAAGCTTTTCTGAAAAAAAAAAGAGCAGTATCAGAGACGAAGAAAAATATTCCACAGCTAAGTAATACTGGCTATAATATAGCCAAAAATTACAGTATTTGTAAGATATCACATATAATTAGTAACAATAGATATTTATAATATGAAGGGGATGGTACCACTGTATTTCTTGAAGTCAAAATTAATATATTCAGAAATGTCATAAAAATTGTTGGCTTTTAGTAAATTAATCAAAACGTTGTGGAATTTATGATTGCATAGTTGACGTATTTGTAAAGGTAATAAATTGAACATTGAATTTTTGTGACAAAAATAAATTTTAGATCCAATTGAAGAGATTTGAATGACAATACAAAAATCTAACTCACGTAAAAATTATTATCTAATACATCTAATACATCTATAGTCATGAGTGAAATTTTATTCCTTCTCTTTGTCAATATTTTACTCAATTGTTCATAAGTTACAAATATTTTGAAGGGCGGTACGGAACTTTAAGATAGTTAAGTTAAAAGCAAACCTTATCAATTTCTAAAGAAAATTCGAAAACATGCATTCATACTACATATCCTAATTTTATGAATATCATTATCAGAATTTCCTGAAATGTTAGGATAAATTACAATTTTCGATTCTTTTGCTATCTCTAGAAGTACAAGTTGTAAATTATATCAAATTAGTATAAAATGATTCTGACTATGGTCTATGTAAAAGTTCTGTAAAGTTTCTTCTGCTTTATTTTTATAATATTTTCTGTTTCTAATAAATTACACTTTTGTTTAATATTTTACAAACATTGAGTAATAAAAAATATAGCAAACAACATACTCACTTACGTTGCAAAATATAATCCAGGCTTATAAAAAGATACAAAATCTAAATATATTAATGCATATTAATCCATCGTTTATGCAATACAGAAATATTTATATATGGACTTTGTATTGTATTAAAAAATGTTACGATTTTATGAATGTGTTTTTCCTTTTGTAATTCTTTTATTGAATCATTACCATTTTCTACAGCTATTATTGACTTAAAATACTTTAATCATTAATCGTCAAAGCGTCATCAAAATTCTTTTAATTCATTACTCTAATACGAGTTTATGAAATTTAAAAGATTGATTCCATGATTAAATGCGAATGTCGTCAGAAAAATTTAATTGTTATGCGATTTTCATCGCGGTTACGTATTTAGATTTTTGATAATTAAAATTGAATAGAGATTGTTTTTATCACTTTAATTAGTATGTAGTCAAAATATTTCTGAAATTTTTAAATGACCGATTAATTTTATCTAAATTTCATTTAAATTACATTCTCTATATCAACAGATTAATTAATTTAAATAATTCCCAAACCATACTATCATTATTAAAAACTATTATATTAGAGTAATTGGTAAAATGAAATATTAGTGAATGTTATAGTTCGTATTTGCGTAGAAAGTGTACAGCAAATTGTAAGATTTTTCAAAAAAATTGTATTAATCATTGACGTTAAATAATTTAGAAATGCATACTAATAAATATTTTTATTAGGGTTTATTCTAAAAAAATAATCTATAAAAAAATTTGAAGAACATCAGTGACGTCCTTATATTTGTTTAATCTTTGACATTTTTGTTACTCAACTTGAAGTTAAAAAAAAATTAATGTTTTGATACTTTTTTATTCTTTGATAGATATTGTTTTCAAGAACGAAGATATAAAATTTGAAAATAAAATAATATTGAAAACAAATTTTGGTAAAAGGAGTGTATGTATGTTTTAATTTTTCTACGGCATTTTGAATAATTAATTCAAATGGTTCGAAATGCAGAGAAATAAGTGCAAAAACTAAACATGACACCTAGGTAAGTGGCATTTTAGCACAAGGCAAGTTGCATTAACTTCCCGATAATAATTGACTTAATCAATCGAAATTGAGATTTAGCGACTTAGATTGATATGGCAAACTATATCCTGATCTACTCATAATTAAAATTTGAACACACTCATAATAACATTACATTTGTTTTTTTTAACATAATTACTAAGTACTTTATTCACTTTGTTTCAAATATTGTTGTGCATTTTGTTTAAGAAAATGCCACACTTTCTTTGTCACATGTATAATAACATACTATTTTATCTATATTATATATAAATGTGGTTATATAACATGTAAATTATAATACCCTTACCCAAAAGTAAACAACTCATGTACCAATCTACCTGATGTCCTTTTATAATTATATAATATTTATATTATACAATAAAATATATGTTTTTAAACTTGAATTTTGATCTGGCTGACAAACAGCTGGGGCGTTGGAAGTAGTATATATGATTAAAAATTATTAAATAAATTCAAATACTATCTGATATAATTTGATATTAGTACTAAAGAACATGCCAGAAAAATTAAATTGAATCCGACCATCAAGTATGCATACACATACATTAATTTCTCCGAGTTATGCTTATATGACCACATTAAACATAACATATAAACAACATTTTGTTTTTTGTTTTTTTTTGCACTTTCTACAATTTATTTAAAATATAGCTTAGAACGTTAAAAATGAAGTTAAGTATCAATTGCTATCCATGAGCGAACAACAACTTAAGTTAAACGTTAATAGATGGCATGTGGGTGCATGAAAAGAAAATCATAATAGAGCAATAATAATTACATTATTAAATAAATCTATATTGCAAATGGAAAGTATTTTTTTATATTTTTGATGGCGGCGCCTAAGTTAAACCGAAATAAAATTATATGATAATATAATAAGAAAAACCACAAATCCTATGTTATTGTATTGATTATTAAGGAAATGTCTTTTTTTGCTTACTCCTGCTTTATAGTACAGCTCGAAAGAGTTGTATTTCAGAGACTTTCTTCACTTATCACTTGTCCTGGTCCTCGACAGCGACAGATGAATACATAACTAGTTCCTTCAATAAATTATCTGTTATAATATTCATTATAGAAATTATGATGTCAAAATAACTTTTACATTTGTATAAAAAAAACAATTTAAGGCAAAAACATAATGCAAGTGAATTTACATGGGACTAGTTATTATTTTATCTGTTTGCTAGTGGGAATAATGAGCCTAATTTTTTTAAAGCTTCTCGTAAAGAGAAGCGCAAAATATCTATGATATAGTAACACTTCTGCTACGAGAGTGTTTTACGCAGGAGCGCTGCTGTACCGGCCAGCCTGCCGCCCAGTAGCGTTACTGAACGCACCAGACAAAACGACATATTAAATGATTTTCTACTAACTTTTAATAAAAATAAAAAGTATGTATTACAATTTTACTAAATATTTTCCAGGGATGGAATGATGTGAGCTTTCACGGCTCAAACCAAATATTAACGCCAAACATTGACGCTCTAGCCTACAATGGAATGATTCTTAATCAGCATTATGTGCAGCCAACGTGCACTCCTTCAAGGGCTGCATTGATGACAGGAAAATATCCCATATATACAGGTAATAGCTATATGATTTTATATATTTCTGTGTTTCAGACTAATTTTTGAAAAATAGTTCACATATGACTGATTTGTTGCACCATTCAATTAATATTATTAAAAGTTATGTGCGTAAGTGGCTAGAGCATCCCGTGTTCTAGGAGGCTGACTCTGGCAGAAGTGATATCATTTTAGCCTTCATCGAGAATTCCTGCATTACTGAAATATTTGATATTTATTAAATTACTAATTTATTTCAGCTAAAGCGTGAGAAATAATTATTTTACCTTCTTACTTGACATTTTCAATTTGGCACAGTTTTCAATTTTTTGAATCTTCCAATTTCGAATTTATTATTTCCATATGTACTGACAGAGTCTAATAATCGGGCGTGTTATTTTTTCAAGTTAATGCTACATCAGATTATTATATTCTGGTTATATATATATATATATATATATATATATATATATATATATATATTTCTACTTATAGGATTACAAGGTTACCCACTGTCGATAGGCGATACCAGGACGCTGCCTGCAGGTAAAATATTACCTGGCCATTTGAAAGATTTAGGATATGTGACCAGGCTGGTTGGAAAATGGCATTTAGGATATTCTTCCCTTAATGCCACACCAACTCACAGAGGATTTGACTCGCACTTGGGGCATTGGACTGGGTTTACTAGTTATTATGACTACATCCATGAAGGATTAGTGAGTATTGATAAATATTCATAATATTAAAAACTATATTTGTTTAAGATGAAAATTAAAGCAAGTCGCAACTCGGATTATAAATAACGCAAAGGCGTATAAGGAAAACTATGAAAATATTGAGCATCTTTCAACTTGCAGGTCAATGCCTTTTTAGCTTTGGTTCAATGCAACAGATATA